CCCCAAAACCCCAAAACCCCAAAACCCCAAAACCCCGTTTTTAAAACTGATAATTGAAAAATACGAACTCAAAATATTATAATTTAAAATGAATTCTGGAAAGACTCCAGAGAGTGGCTTCATAGGTCAAAGACGCAGACTTCCAAGAGGAAGAGACGATGATGATGACGATTTTGGTAGAGACAGAGGGAATAATGCATCTGGGTTTATTGGATCAAGCAATGCGAGGCTTGGAAGAGATGAAACTGGATTTGAAGGACTGGAAGGTAGGCATGAAGACCCGAGAGATTTCGCACCCATTGGTAACTCTTACCCAAATGAGAGGGGAAATGGTTCTAGAGATAGCCTCTCTTTTGAAAATTCTCATAAAAAGCGAGCTAAGCCCGCACAGAAGACTGAAAAGCCTCTGACCCATATTGATCGAAACACTGTAGGAAAAGTTGTAGAACTGAAAGATAAATATCAGAGGCTTAAAGATAGGTCAAATGATAAGGATAAAGAGATGAAGATTACCGATATGAAAATTGATGCACTTGCTGAAAGGATTAGAGAAATTGATAAAAAGAAAGCTGAATTTAAAGACCAGTTGTTCGAAGAGAAAAAGAAAAATAATTTACTAAAGAAAAGGCTCGATTTGAACGAGCAAGAGAAACTTGACCTTGAACAACAACTTGAAACTGGTATTAAGCCAAATAGGAAAGGAAAGAAAGGCAAAGGAATCTTCGGAAATGTAGATATAGAGGGTCACCAACAAATGCTAGAGGAAAGAAGAAGGAAAGAGAGAGAGGAGATGAGACGACAGCTCTTTGCAGGTGTTGATTTCCTTGGAGGCGGACAACTTAAGGTAAACCAAAGTACCTCAAGGAAATGCTGGGAGACAGTAAGGTACAAAGTTTTAAACTTCTTTGATACAATAACGCCTCACAAAACAGATTTAAAATATATATCTGCGAAATATGATAAGGCAACAACTGCATTCTTTCAGTTTTATAGATTTGTGGTGGCATTCTCTATAATACTCTTTGTCTTCTTTCTCCTGATACTGACTCTGCACACCATGGATTATTATGCAAACAATAGCTTCACTAGCCCAGAATACTGTAACAATATTCCTTGATATTTCTATTACTCAAGGTTTGATGACAAATTTGATTTTATATACGCTCTATCGTATCTGGTCTTCGGAGCAGTCGGCCTCACAATTTGTATAATCCAGTGGACTTCCTTCAGTCTCAAAAACATGCGCTCTAAGATTTACACCAATGAGGATATTCTATTCAGCAAGATGTTCTTCAATGCTTGGAACTGGAATGTGTACACTCATGAGGACTACTTTGAGGCTATAAGTTACATTAAGAATGAAACCTCTACTACTATTTATGAAGACATTATTCGTGAGAAGGTGAAGAACAGGACCAAAGAGCAAAAATTTGACCTGGTGATCCGTCGGATGATCTTCATCACTCTCAATGTGATCCTGATCATCGCTGGAGTTGGAGCTATATTTGCAGCCAATCTTTTTAACAATGATATTCAGAATAGCATCAGCGGGCCTTCATATGCGACTGCATTGATCCCTTCATTAATAGTTTCCTTTGTGAATGGAATTGTACCAGCAATGACAAAGAGAATCACTGCTTGTGAGAAATATGATTTTGCAAATACCTTACTGAAACAACAAATTTGGAGAATGTTCGCTATTAGGATCTTGAATTTGACAATTTTTATGCTGCTGAATAGAGAATTAGCATTTAATGACGGTATATTTGCATCTTCACCTATCATTGAATTCGATACAGAGGTGTACGACTGAAGAGAAGACCAGGCTGCCAGTAATTTAGCAAGACTCATGTTCACTGAGTATATAGTTAAACTGATATCCGCCTTTGGCTGGATGAGTCTTAACTTTTGCAAAGGAGGATGTGGTGCAAAAAGAGGGTGGAGAGCTGAGTTTCCTGTTTCAGAAGAGGTCGTGTGGTTGCTGTATTTCCAAGCAGTGGTATGGTCAGCTCTACTTTGGAACCCCTTTGTAGCACTCATTTATCCTCTTATGTTCTATTGCATGTTTAAATTTATTTACTTCAAGATCTCATGGCTTCAGAAAAAGCCTTTAAAGAGTACTAATGCTCAAGATCTGGGTAACTACATCATGACTTTCCTGAATGTTTCCTTTGTCCTGATGTTTGTTTTTATTGGATTTTTATTATCAGACAAGCTTTCACATAGCACATATGACTCAACAAAGCAATGAGGCCCTTTTGCCAATAATAAAGCTTGGAGGGAGTCATTTGGAAGTGATGCAGACAATGTCTATTCTGATTACTACCCTATCCTCTGGCTAATCTTTATTATCGTAATCTGAGTCTACTTCCTCAAGAGAAACACCTCTATTATAGTCAGAGATTATTCAAAAGAGAAAGATAAAGAGTATAAATTAACTCTTAGCAATCTGGAAAGAAGCATTGCTAGGATTAAGAATAAGATTGAGCTCAAGAAAATGGTAGAACAGACATAGTATTAATCCCAATATTTTCTTCCTCTAACAATTTAGGTATATATTTTATCTCTCTCTTTGTAGTTGCTCGGAATAAACTTAAATATTCTAAATTTAGAACTAAATGTAGGTTTCAATGAAAGATATACGTTCTGGGGTTTTGGGGTTTTGGGGTTTTGGGGTTTTGGGG